TATCGATTAGAAAAATAATGAAGTTCGATAACTTTTTTATGAGTAACTCAACCAATAAAATTACTTCCTATGTAAATGACACAAATGACCTAATGACCCAAATGACCTAGTCATTATTTGATGACTTGAGGTCATTTGAATTTTGATTAAATGACCAGGTCATTTACCATCCCTGCTTACGTGCGGCTCTTATTTACACGTGCGCATGTTACAATGTTAATAGAAACATTATTATCGTTATGTTGTACACAGAATAAATTCGGGACAACATTGAAAATGTTGCATATCAAATATATGTCTTGTAGATACTCGATCTTTGTATCAAATAAAATATTATTAAAGATTCTTATTCTAAAAATTTTCTTTTTTTTTTTGATTTTATACTCTTATTATAAACTCCAAGTCTAATTTCCAATTCCAGGTGTTTCTAATTCAGGCCCAGATGTTTCTAATTCAGGCCACATTTATTATCTTTTAATAAAATGGAGTCAGATAGGGAAGGGCAATTTCTAAAAATATTTTCAAATGTATACTCAAATAATGATATTGACAAAGCCAAAAACAAGGAGGCATTAAAACTATATTTAGAATCTACTAATGACATAAGTACAGAAATAAAAAATGACATAGGATGGTGCTATCAATATGGAATAGGTATTAACAAAGACGTAAATGAAGCATATTCATGGTATTTAAAGGCTGCGGAAGAAGGTAACTCTAGTGGATGTAATAACCTGAGTTGGTGTTTTGAAAATGGTTTAGGCGTTGCCAAAAACAATAATAAGGCATTTGAATGGTATTTGAAATCAGCCAAAGGCGGTAATTATAGCGGACAAAATAACCTTGGACGTTGCTATGAAAATGGAATAGGTATTGATAAAGATGAAAATAAAGCATTTAAATGGGTTTTAAAATCAGCAAAAGGTGGCAATTCTAGTGGGCAATTTAATGTTGGCTTGTGTTATAGGAATGGCAAAGGTATATGTCAAAACATAGAAGAGGCTGCAAAATTTTTACAAAGAACAAGAAGTAACCAGCATCAGCATGTAAATTACGAAAACTTAGATACTGATCTTGCTGAATTTTTAAAAAATTCAATGTCTGAAAACAAATATCAATTATTTTGGATTCCATTCGAAGAACTAAGAAACAAACAAAGAATTATTGGGGAAGCCGTACTTTCTGCTAAGTATTCTGCCGAATGGACATACTTACACAAACATAAACATAGAGCAAGAACAAAAATGGTTCTTCTAAAACTAATTTATGGATCAAGATATGACCGCAAGTTACTTATGAAAGAGGTAAAGATTTAATGACCTCAATACTTCACGCATGTAATTTCGATAAATATGACTAATAAACTTACTTTTAAAGCTACAAGCATTTTACAGTATTGGATGCAAGAATCCTACATATCTTCAATGCTATGGAGTATCGAAAGATAAAAAAACTGGTGATTATTGTCTGGTCATCCAATATGTACCGTTGGGTTCTTTATTACATAATCTTCATTCGGTTGCACGAATGAAATGGATAGAAAAAGTAAATTTATTATTCTATATAGCTCATGACCTTCAATTGATTCATTCTCTTGATATTATCCATTGTAATTTACATGATAAAACTATATTACAATACGATATACATAATGCATATATAAGTAGCTTTACATTATCATCTGTTCGCGAGACATCAATGGTAAAACATGTGATGATTGGACATCTCTTATTTGCAGCACCGGAAGTTTTATCTGAGTATTCATTCTCCAAGGCATCAGATATTTATTCCTTTGGAATACTTATGTGGCAAATTTCTTCAGGACAATCTATAATTTCGGAATATGGATCGATGAATAGTGCGTATACGTTGATGTTTCAAATTCATAATGGAATGCGGCCAACTATCCGTGAAGGTACAATACCGTGTTATTCAGACCTCATGAGAAGATGTTGGGATAATGACCCAGCAAGACGGCCATCTGCATCAAAAATTTATAGGATCCTCTCTGATTGGAAAAATAATATTGCAGCATTTTATGAATCTGATCCAGTTGATTATGGTGAAGACAGTGAAATAGATCTAATTAGTGTCTCAAAATCCCCTGTAAATCGTCCCGAATTAATTGAAAAACTTTTTGGGAATTCTGCTGAAGAAATAAATGAAGAATATTTGGGTAATTTAATGCTTTAATTTTGGCTTCAAAATAGTGTTTAATAAATTCATAATAATCGCATTTGCATATTTAGAAAATGAAATTAGGGGAAAATCAAAGTTTATAGATTGGGACGAGCTAAGTAATATTTCAAAACTTAGCGAAGGTTGCTTTGGTATGTTGTAGTATACATACATTATAATAGTAAAATAGTTATTTACTTCCTGTCTAATTTTATTTAGGTCTCATATTCAAAGCAGTTTGGATAAAGACGCATAATAATGTCGTTTGTAAGGCATTGATAAATTTAAAGGACATAAACGGTAGATACTATACAGCGTTTATTCATGAATTAACAATACATAGTAGAGCAGATCGTTGTGAAAATATTGTTCGATTTTTGGGAGTCAGCAAAGGTTTTTTTTTTTTTGTCAGTTTATTTAATTGCATATTTAAATTAACTAGTTACATTAAAATAGATATTACCAATAGCCGATATTTCCTTATAATGGAATATGCAAATGGTGGAAATTTACGGGAATTTATTAAAACAAATAATCACTTATTGAATTGGGATAAAAGATTAGAATTAGCCTGTCAGATCACAAAAGGGTTAGGTTATTTGCATAGTGAAAAAATTATTCACAGAGACCTGGTAAGGTAGCCTTAAGTAATAATCTTTGCTAATACTGTAATATTTTAATTGTAAATCTTACAAAAACCTTAATTAGCATGATAAAAACATTGTCATCCATGATGGCAAAGCAAAAATAACTGATTTTGGAAATGCTATAAGTATTAATACACAAACAAATATACATGACAGTCTTTTTGGAATGATTCCATTTGTAGCTCCTGAATTACTTAAACATGTCAAATCTGATAATATACCATATTGCAAAAAAACAGATATCTATAGCCTTGGCATGATATTTTGGGAATTATCTAGTGGTCGTCCACCGTTTGAAGATCAATTAAAGATTTCTATAGCTATCAAACTCGTTCAAGGCTTCAGAGAAGATGACAAGTACGGAACTCCTGAATATAGGAATCTCTATATTAAATGCTGGAATGCTGATCCATATGAACGTCCAGATATTGAAGAGGTGCACAAATTGTTAGAAGAAATAGTAAACTCTAAAATATTGCCAGAGATTGACCCTCGTACTATTAATCCTGATGGTATGTATAATCTTTTTAATTAATATCGTAAATTCTCACGTATTTCGAAAATCGTGCTCCCAAAAATAGTATAGTTGGTTTTGAAATAACGCCCATGCACATCGCACACTTCATAACGATAATAATTCTGCTCGTATGTTTTGTTAATTTTCATAATAAAATACTTGCTCATGACAACCATAAAGAATCTTCACGGTTATCACGTGTCATTATGTTAGTCGGTCAATCGTGAAGATTGACTAATACAATAAAAAAAAATTGCACATTATCATTGTGCGTAGAACTTTTGCTTATTACAGTATTAAATCAATTAGAAAAATCGATCTGCTATTTCAAAATAACGCCCATGGGCATACTACTCGAAATAACGCGTTATTTCTAGAATTTATGGTATATTAACACTAATCTAATACATAATTAAAATTTAAGTTGTCAATAATTCAAGAACTTCAATTAAACAAACTCCATTAACTGGAATTAATGGTAAATAATCATTTAATGTGTTTATTTCGATATCATTCTATTAACATTTATAATTTTTTAATTCTTATTATTTTGTAACAGATTCAAACCTCGAAAACCTATATCTGTCAATGACAGAGGCGATTGAATAACCAGAATTAAGTCTTTCAAATAAGGATTAGATAAGACTATCTTAAACCTTTATTTGCATTTTTGCATATTATATTATATTTACATTTACACAATAAATCTTTCTATATATGATATAGTTAATTAATAGATTAATCGATAGTTAATGTATAGTAATCAATTTTTTTAAAAAATAATTAATCAACTAATCGATCACATTTTTTTTGCTTTGATTCATAACACTACCTCGGGCACTAATTAAAAATGGTTGAAACGTAATTTTACATATAGAAATTGATGTTTATATTCATAACCATGAAAAAGTTGTCCGAATAAACCACATCACGTGTGTTTAGATTAGATGGGCCTGGAATAAGCACAATTTTACTTGTTATGTTCTCTAATTTGCTGATTTTCTCTTATCACACTCGATTTCTAATTTAAATTTACGCGTTATGGTAAAATTGACATTTCCGGAAAATCAAGACAAACCGTGCCTCAATTTTAAACTCTTGGAGGCTAGGCTTGGGTGGCGCATGTGCTTGTTGATCAGAAAATCTCGCGAAATGATTTTTTTTATTATTATTTGTCGCAGATCATAACGATAATGAAATCGGATTAAAATGAAATGAAGGGTTTCTATTTGAGCTCCTAAAACCCACTTATACTTGCTTATTATAAAATCTGCTTCTAAGCCCTAATCCTAACCCTAAAAAATGCTAAAAAAATGCACCCCAAAATTTGTATTTTTCGGTGGCTTGTCTATTTTACACTATCTCTCATTTCATTTTAATCTGATTTCATTTTAATCTGCCACAATCATTAATCGAAAAGATGTTCATCCGAAAAGACAAGTTTGCTTTAGCAAGAGAAAGTCTGCTCGAACTTGACGAGAGAGACAGTGTAATAGAAAATAGTACAATAGAAGAGAATACTATAGAAGTGAAGCCAAAAGAAATTATAGTTTACAGTGACGTGCCACTTGAAAATTACCTCAAATTTCGTGAGAAGGAACAGAAGTCTCACGTCTTTATCCATTTAAAGAAGGGAAATGTGATTGCATACGTGGTGTTCATGGGGCGGTACTAAGTGAATGTAGTTTTCTAATGTGCCATTAGAGTAATCAACTTATTGTTAGAGATATTACCGTTGGCCAAAATAGTGTATATAGCTCTGATATTCTGGTCGAACCATCACAGAGAGAAGATCCAAATCCAAGAATGGTTGTAGAAATTGGGAAACGGAATCTCTTGATAGTTTAAATAATCTAGCAGAGAAGTATTTTTCTGCACAGACTAATTATTTTAATTTTTGTAATTGTCAAATGACTAACTCTGGGACCCTTGAAAATGGTCCCAGAGGGGTTATATTTACATAATAAGTGAAAGCTCCCATCCAAATTTATTTAGCAATAAAAATATGGCCTCATCGATCAGATGGCACTGCCGCAATGCTCGCACTCCTTTATCTACGTAATAATGTAATCCCAAACTCTGCATTAAACTCATCAAACCCACCACTAAATACACAACCAACAATAACATTACCAAACACTGTACTGAACCTTGCAATTTCATTCATCTCTTCATCACCAGTCACTGATGTTTGTTTATAATACCGGTATACCATATCATAGAATTACTGGTCTCTTACAACATAGTGATATTGCTTGTACAACTGCTGGCATGACAAACTATGAGATAACAATTCCTGCAAATTTACTCTTTAATGCTTTTTCTGGAGGGAATACTTGACAATTTCAGTATAGATTTATAGAAATTGCAAGATATAGCTCTGAAACGTCTGGTGTATATTGTTGTTTTATTTTGCTATCACATTATTATCTGACATTTTTTAACTTTTGTTTTGTTTACATTTTAGTGATAGTATTAATTCAACATAAATATGTTTAGTTGAATAATTCTTTTTCTAAATCACTAACATTAATTGTTAGAAGTTTTGAAAAATAAATTTACAGAATTATAATGGATGAAAAACATCATACCCAGGTGTATACGAGACTTTAACCCTTTTGCTTTGATTGATTTTTTTGTTTTACTTTATCTTTTTGCTTTGTTTCATCTTTTTGCTTTGTTTTTTTGTTTTGCTTTGCTTTTGCTTTGCTTTACTTTTTTTTTGTTTTGCTAAAATAATCTTATGGATGAATTTGATCTGAAATAATTAGTCTAAGGTTTCAATTATATTATAATTTCATTCTCGGTATACAGTCAAACCCCTCTATAGTCACACCTTCGGGATACAAAAAACCGTGATTATAAAGAGGCGTGACTTATATAGAGGTATTTTCTATATTGTTATAAAAGATTGGTAAAAATAAATTTTTAATTATATTAATTTTGTGACTATAGAGGAGATGACTATAGAGGGGGTTGACTGTATTTTACCTTTTTAAAAGCTAATTAGAATGATCTTGAAAAAGTTTTAATAGATCTTCTTACAGAAATTTTGCAAGGATGCATAAAATGTTTCTTATATGAATGTTTAGTTAAAATACTAGATATTGCAAAATTACAGTGCTCAAATTATTCTTTTTACAAAAATTTACTTAATACAGTCAACCCCCTCTATAGTCACCTCCTCTATAGTCACAAAATTAATATAATTAAAAATTTATTTTTACCAATCTTTTATAACAATATAGAAAATACCTTTATATAAGTCACGCCTCTTTATAATTACAGTTTTTTGTATCCCGAAGGTGTGACTATAGAGGGGTTTGACTGTACATCCAAACTTTAATATAAGTAAACTTTAAAATTTTTTATAGTACATCACACATCACGTAAATACAATTTTATGATAGCAATACTGGGGGAGAGCTTCTCTAAATAATTTCCAAATTATGATAATTTCTTTTCATAAAAATAATTTTTAATTGTACTGTATAGTACTAAAATACTAAATCATTAAGCCATTAAAACAAAACATATCGCTAGATGCATAAACCTTAACTTAGCAATTTGTATAAATTAGATTAATGTAGAATGCTTATTTTAAATATATTGCAAAAAAAATAAAATACATCTAATTTTTAAAATATCAATATAAATAAAACTTGCTAAGCAACATGTAATTAAAATTCAGAAAATTAATAAACATGATGCATGAATTAATGAACTTGGTGTTTTGTCTTTTTATAATTTTCTATAATTAAAATTCATTAAATTTGATTATATGGGTGTTGAGATATCTTTGATCAAAATTTTTGTAAAATTTTGAATATATATTAAATAAAAGCTGTGTTAAAAATTAGTTTGAAACTTTGATTAAAGATATCTCAACAACCACCTAACCAAATATAATAAACTTTTTTTATTTGATTGTAGAAGACTATAAAATTTAAACAAAAAAAGTTTATCAAATTTGATTAGATAGTGTCAAGATATCTTTAATCAAAGTTTCAAACCAATTTTAAGCACAGCTTCTATTTGATAAATATTTAAAATTTTACAAAAACTTTGATTGAAGATATCTCAATACTTATAGTATTTAACCAAATTCAATAAATTTATTTTATTTTGATTATAGAATATTATAAAATTTAAACAAAAAAGTTTATCAAATTTGGATAAATGCTAAAATATATTTGATCAAATTTTTAAACTAATTTTTAATACAGTTTTTATTTAATAGATATTTAAAATTTTACAAAAATACAGTATTAATCAAAGATATCTTAATATCTATTTAATTAAATTTTATAATTTTTTTTATTTTGATTGTAAAAAATTATAATCAAATTTGGTTAATTAAAGTTTCAAACCAATTTTTAGCATAGTTTTTATATATAGTATAATATAAATATATTTTTTATTAATATTTTCTTATTTACAAACTAGGTTGATAGTTTAGATTAGATTAAAGACAAGATCTTAGAATTTTTTGCTTTTATAACTCAGAAAAAACTCTGTTATTAAATATGAAACCCTGCGGCTAAGTCTAAATATAAGTATAAAATCAAAAAAAGAAATTTCTAGAAGAAGATCTAATTGTAAAATTGTAGCATTATGTATGTTTCCCACAGAAGAGTTTATTATATAGAGTTGAGTTAATAGAAATCAAGCAAAATTTTTTTAAATAAATTTTTTTAAACTTTAAACAATAATAACTCAACAAAAACTTAATCAAATTTAATAAAAATTTTTTAAATAAATTTTACAAACTTATAGTATTTGTGTAAAAAATTTTTATTAAATTTGATTAAGTTTTTGTTAAGTTATTGATATGTGAAGTTTAAAAAAATAATTTGCTTGATTTCTATTGACTCATTTTTATATAAAGATTGTATATATAAGTTTTTGATTAGAGTGATCAGGTAGCACCAATATTCTTAGCAGCTGAAATACTTGCTTAAGAGAATGATATAATAATAACAAAACTAGAGTAATGAAAAAGTAGTAAATATGAAGATAACTTGTACTAAAGGATTGGTTTAACTAAAATCAGAAACACCTCTAGTGTTTATATGATACTAGGTTAAAAAAATAAATTATTTAAATAGAAAGAGATTAGAAAGTAACTTGAAGTATATATAAAAAATAGTTTATAAATAGCAAGGTCATACTCAATTAAGAGTAGTATTACAAAATATGAATATAAAAACACTAACAAAAATAAATACAAATTAATGCTTGCAAATTAGAAATGATCTATTTACAAAAAACTTGACTGGAAGTTTTGATACCTAAATCATATAATTATTACTATTTTGAAAAGTATTTGTTAGCAAGATTTGTATGATATTATACAAAATAATAATACCAATATTAGAAGTAATCATAAGGCTACAATTGCCAGATGTCTTTTAATGGAATCTGTAATAGATTTGTACTAAGTGCCAAGTTGAAAGTATCATGTTCACAAGTTAAAATAAAATATATTATATACATATTTTATACAAATTTAGTATCTGATATATATAGAATATGTGTAGAATATATGTAAGATATGTATAATTTAGTATCTAATTTGTATAAAGTTGATATAGTATATTGTACACATATTATATATATATATTTTATATATTATATATTTATTATATATCTATATTATATGGGTATCTAATAATAAATATTCTACACATATTGGGTACTAGATATGTTTAGAATATGTAATAAATACATATTCTATACATATTTGGTACCTAATATATATAGAAAATCATTGGATATAACTAATCAAATTTATGTAAATAATAATTAAAATAGTTAAATATATATTAATTTTGATTATTATTTTAAAATAATAAAAATTAATATTAAAGTTAATTTATAATTTAAAGTTGACCTTTAATTTATATGCAAAATTTTATAAAAAAACTTTTATTAAAATGCAAAGACCTATTTTATAACCAAAATTTTAGTTATTAGAAGTTTTTTAAAAATAAACCTTTAAAAAAAATTTAAAAAAATTAAAAAACTATTCTAAAACTATATTTTGTACTAAATAAACTGGAAAAATCAATTAAGACAACTTTGTTCTTTAGATTAAGTTGATTCTAAAAGTAGTAAGATCATCAAAAATGGCCTAGTAGATCTTTTTTTATGGCCTCTCAAAATTTTATAACAATTATTTATATAAACTATATAATTTAGACAATCATTATAAAACTTTAAGAAGCCATAGAAAAAAATCTACTAGGCTATTTTTAATGATTTGACTATTTTTAAAACTGTTTAGATCTGGAGAACAATGTTGTCTTAATTAATCTTATCAGTTTACTTAGTACTAAACCTTGTTTCAGTGCACTTTTTTATTTAACTTTAAAAATATAAAAATAAATAAAAAACTGTTTTGTAACTATGTTTTATACTAAATAAACTGGCAAGGTCAATTAAGACAATTTTGTTCTTCAGACCAAGGCAGTTTTAGGAAGTTCTAGGTAGTTCTAAGCAGTTCTAATGGTGGTGAAATCATTAAAAACAGCCTAGCAAATATCTTTCTATAGTCTTTTAAAATTTTAAACTGATTATTTATATAAATTACATGATTTAATCGATTGTTTTAAAACTTTGAGAGGTTATAGAAAAAGATCTACTAAGCAGTTTTTAATAATCTTATCATCTTTAGAATTATCTAAATCTGAAAAACAAAGTTGTCTTAATCGATTTTGCCAGATTACTTAGTACTAAACATAGTTCTAGTGTATTTTTATTTATTATACTATATAATAATTTATAAATATAAAATATATATATGATATTGTAATATAGCAATATAGGGTCTTAGTAAAGCTATACTA